CCCGATATCATCTTCGCTAGCACTGGCCGCGCCACGGCCGATTTCAGGAAAGTGAAGGGCAATCCCTTGAAGTGTGCGCCGAAGCGCCAGTGCCCAGATCGCGCCGCTGAGTGCGCAGCCCTGAGCGACGCCGCTGGCCGCAAGAAAGAGAGGCCGCCACTGCCCATCGAGCTCCAGGAACGCGACCGGGTTGAAGCAGAAGGCGCGCAGCAGGTTATTAAACCGGCCACTCACGCCCCAGCGACTCAAGACCTACCGCATCCAAGCGTGCCAGAGGCCCGGGAATGCGGCAGCAATGTACGCGCTGCGGAAGCGCCGTTGGTGGATGGGCCCTCCGGGTCGAAGCTGCAGGGCGCGCTGCGAGCGTCGGCCGCGACGGCGTCGTTGAGAGAATGCCGCCCAGGTACGAAGCCGCGCTAGATGGAGGAAACCTGCTTGACCAGGAAGTGGAGTTCGCGGCTCGCAGCTGATGCGGCGATCTTGATGTCCGAGTTCTTGATGGCGAGTGGTCGCAGCTGGTCGGGCGCTCTCGCGCAAGACGTCTGATCGGTCGCGCCATCTCCATCGGGCAGCATGGCCAGCAGAGCGCGGTTGAGTTCGCGTGGACTGCGGCCGTCGCCGCCGATGTGCGCCGTCAGCGCGGCATGGACGGCGAAACTGCCGGGTGAGTGGAGCCCTTCTTCATCTGGCAATCCGGCCGGGCCTGGAGCCGCATCGATGGCGGTCTTGGCGGCGGCCTTGTCTTCCTCCGTCGGGGCGTCGATGTCGAGAGCTGGCCTCGCAGGAAAGACAGCGTCGAGGCAGGCGCGCGTGGCCGCGATGCCCACGAGCTCGCCTTCGAAGCTCGGCGCCCATTGAGACTGGATCGCGCTGTGCATGTCCACGGGGTCAGCCGAGACCGAATGCGAGCGGCCTGCTGTGGCGTGGATGCCAGCTGGCACCAGGCGTTTGGCGATGAGTTTCCACGGCCCCCCTCGACGGCGCTCGTCGTTCGCTTGCTGCCGCCGCCTGCCCCCGAGCAGTCGTCGCTGATCGCGACGTGCTTGCCGAGCTCGAGCGGTTGCATGAACGCGGCGCTCACCGGCAACTGCAGCGCGAATACTGGCGGCGCCCGTGGCGAACTCATCCGGACGAGCGAGACACGCGCGGCGCCCGTGACCAGGGTGCTCAGCGCCCTGCCAAAGTTGAAGATGTGTGGCACCACGATTAGAATTTCGAATCAGAACGCTCGCTGGCTCATCGTCTTGGCACCACGCCGCGCGCGCAATGGTCCGCCTCGCCACTGAGGCAACGCCCTTCGCGACTTCACTATGCTCTCGTTTCAGCACATCAGGATGAAGACGATCCAAGGCGTCGCGAGCATGAGCAGCAGCCTTCGTCATGTTCTCCTTCAGAGCCCTCCACTTGCCTATGGCGGTGAGGTCGTCATGCGGCGCGTGACTGTTCAGCTCGTCGGTTGCGACCTCGTAGACGTCGGACTTGAAGACGCGCGCTGGAATGCCGCATGCACGCCGACTTCGCTGTTCTCGAGGTCGAAGCGAACATGCATAAGTTTGCGATCGCCTGCTGGTCCACCAGCGCGGTCCATGGGCGAGTCGCCCACGGCCATGATAGTCTCCAGATGCGGGAGGTGGAGGTGAAGAACCTGTCCACGTTCGACTCGGCGAGCGCGGCCGTGCATCTGCGCGCGGAAGTAGGAGCGCAACCCTCGATCGTATCTCTGAGGAGCTGCTTCCATCAGATCGGCTGGCACTGGTAGTGCTCGGCGTTACTCGGGTCCACCGGCCTTGTGAGGCTGCGCGCGGGCGCCGCGGAGATGTTGATCTCGCCGAGCATGAACGTCATCGCGTCATCGCATTGCTTGGGCTGGCCCGAGCATCTGCAATTGCGGTTTGCCACGCCGATGATAATATGCTGCGACCGCCCAGGGCGATGTCATGGCGATGTGTGCGACGGCAGATCTGCCAGTATCGGCGCAAGGGATCACGGATGCGCAGCTCAGCGATGCGCCCAGGAATGCTCGGCGCAACCATAATATCGGGCTTGGGCCCGTTGGGGTCGCCCGCATCAGCGGGGCATCTTGGAACCGAGAAGGCCGATCCACCAGCTGCATTGTTGTCGGGTGTTCCGCTGTGGTAGACATCGTACTTTGTGGCCGAGGAGCGAATTTGCAATGTTCCCGAATCGCGGCGTGAGTTTCATGAAGAGCAATTGGCGCCAGGACACATCGTTTGATATCCCGTTCTGGAGCGCGCGAATGTAGAAGAGTTTGGGCGTTCCACGATGCCGCCGATGACTCCGCGGACGCGGCGGAAGCTCATGGCGTCCACGAAGTCCACTTCTCGCTAAAGCGAAGGCACTGCTGCGGGGGGAATCGGCGAAAGCTGCCGCTTAGGCTGCGTCTGCGTCGTTCTGGATGTTAGTTGGCGCCCCTCGACGGGCAGCCGCGTCGGACCGCTGCGCCTTCGCGGCTCCTTGCGGGGAGTTCCCGACGCAGACGCGCGCGGCGGGCCGCCTTCAGCTGAGAGATAGCCTTCGGATCTGTGAACTTATGGCTGAAGCGCGGGCGCGGCCGCGCTGATGAGTCTGACCAGCGTCTTGATCCAGACCTTCTGTCGCACCGCGCGGGCCCCTCTGCCCGCGCCGATGTAAAGTGGGTAGTGTTGGCCGCCATTTTCGATTGAGAATGCGCGCCAATCGCGGCCGACGTGAAGACGATGATGAAGAGCTTGCACGCGCGGGGCAGCGACCGCGCTGCCTCCCAACAACGCGAAGGAGACTCGCTTGCCAGGCGCGGTATTTTTGAACCGGACCGAGTGAATGTCCACGCCTGCGGCAGTGAACCAGTCCGCCTTCGCGATGGAGGCTGGCTCAGCCCAAGGGCCCACAGTTTTGGGCGATCCAGCCCAAGGTGCACCAGCCCGTGGAGATCTCGATCCGCGGCGTTGTTGCCGAGGCGGTAGTTTTGGCGACTCTGGCATGATGGAGGCGGCGCCGATGGGAAAGCCAGCGCAGGCAGCGACGCACAAGGAGGGGCCGCTGCACCCCGAGCCAAGCCCGCGCAAAGCGCAAAGCAAGGGAAGAAACCAATCCCTGGACCAAGGGTGCGCCGCGCTTGCCTGCGGGCGTTTTGCCGCCAACATTGGAACCGTGAGCCAAACTGGTTACGGGGGTGTCGGGGTGAGGAGGACGAGGATGCAAACCGAGCGGCTTCACATCAGATCGGGCTTCCAGACGAGCGAATTTTCATCCGAACGAGACGTGGTGCCCGAGGGCCAGAGGAGGCGGCTGCCCCGGCGCGCCGCCGGTATTCGGCCGAGCGAGTACCGACCGAGCGACTGCAAGCGGAGCCAATTATTTCACCCCGAACGAGTTATCACCCCGAACGAGTTCTCATCCGAACGAGTTCTGGCCTCCATGACCAGATCTGATGTCCCAGGCGGCGACCAGGCATCCACCGAGTGAGTTCCGACCGAGCGGAATTTAAACCCGAGCGAACTTAAATCCGAGCGAGCTGCCACCCCGAGCGAATTCCCGTACGAGCGAGTTGTGGCCTCCAGGACTAGTTCTGGTGTCCCGGGCGGCGATTGGGCATCGACCGAGCGAGTTCCAACCGAGCGACATTGAACCCAAGCGAGTTTGAATTCGAGCGACTTTTCGCCCCGAGCGAGTCACCATCCGAACGAGTTGCGTCCTTCCGGACTGGAGCCGATGTCCCAGGCGGCGACCAGGCATCGACCGAACAAAATTTAACCGAGCGAAAACAAACCCGAGCGATTATAATCATGCGAATTCAAACCAGAGTGACATTGAAGCCGAACGAAAACAAGGCGAGGGAAATTTAACCCGAGCGATGTTAAACCGAGCGAACTTACACAAACGAAGAAAAACCTCGAGCGTCGCAAAGGTGAATCCCAGGGGAATGCGTATATGTGGGGCAACCCTCCCTGGGACCACCCCTGGCTGGGAGGGGATCAGGGCCTCTTTGCGACTCAACTACGATGTTGCTCAATGTCGGTTTGGCTGGCGCGCTGAAAGAGGAGGGCCCAGGGAAAGGAAACAGGGGATGACGGAGCGACGATGAACGGAGACGACGAGGAGACGACGGAGATGCAGACGACGACGGAAACGACGATGGGACGACAACGACGACACGACGACGAGGGCCCAGGGAAAGGAGACGGGGGACGACGGAAACGACGATTGACGGAGACGACGAGGGGACGACGGAGTCGGAGACGACGACGGGGCCGACGAGGAGACGACACGACGACGACGACGACGACGGCGACCAACGGAAAAACGTCTTCCACACGCCGACAGGGTCGGCGGATTTCGCCAATGTGAGTCTTCAAAAGGGCATGTCCGGGATGTGTATATGTATGGCCACACACGCATACATCATGTGTCGATGAACCATCCATCGCCCGCGCGCTCACGAGACGCCGCCGCGTGCGCGAGTGCCGCCGATGTGCCGCCCGCCGCGGCCATGGCCGCCGCTCCCGGTGGGCCAGGCGCCCCGCGGGCGGCCCCGTGGCCGCGGCCCGCGTCGGCCGCGCCGCCTGCGCGCCCTTCCGCGGGCTGGGTTCCCGGCGCGGCCGCGCTCGCGGCCTTCGGCGGGCGGCACAGCGCCGCGCCGCGCGGCCGCGGCGCGAGGCGTCGTCGCGGCTTGGCGCGGAGCGCGGCGGCGGATCGGAACGCGCCCGCCATACAACCTACGCCGGTCCTGGCCAGGCCGTTGCTGGGCCCAGGCTCAGCGTGTATCGAAGCCCTCCTGCCCAAGCCAGGAGGCGCATACGCCGGTCCTGGACCCAGCATGGGCCTGGCCAGAATCGGTCGGCCTATGCGCTGTCATGTGGCGTCCTCCGAGGCGGCGCCGGCGGCGGCGGCGTCCGCCCCGGGTGAGCCGCCGCTTGTCGCGCAGCTGGCGGTCGCCGGGGTGCCGGCGGGGCTGCTGGCGGCGGCGCGCGCGGAGCTGGGCGGGCGCGGCCCGCCGTGGGGCCGGCCGGTGCTGTTGCTGCCGGGCGCGGGCGGGGCCTGCACGCTGCTGGCGCCGCCTGGCGCGGCAGGTGAGGGCGCGGGCGGAGGCCCGGCGGGTGTGGTTCGGCGTCCTCGTTCCCAGACCCCGTCGCGTTGTAGCAAGAGTAGGGGGCCACATGCGAACCCTTCCCCTACCCCGCACGATTTCTAAGGGGGAGGGTGGGGTTCACTTCGTTCGGGAGCTCCCGAGCGAAGTGAACCCCACCCCACCCTCAGAAATCGTGGGGGGGTAGGGGTTGTGTTCGCATGGGGCCCCTTAAAGAGGCGCACGGCGGTTGGTTTTTCACTGTTTTCGGCCTCTCGGGGCCCTCGCTGGGCCCCGGGACTGTCAAAGGTCGACTCGGGATGAAGAGCCAGCCTGGGGGAAGTGGTCCTGCAGACCTCCGGGGGGCCAAGGCGCGTGAAACGAACACGACGTCGGAGTTCTGGGCTCATTGTCGGGTTGCTGGGAGCGTTCTCAGGAGTCTCGTGGCCACGGCTGGCTGACTGGCGTGGCAGCCGCCGCGCAGAGGGCGTGGGCTCGAGGGCTCGTGCTCGTGGCCACGGCTGGGCGCGGCTCGAAAAGCATCTGCCTTCTGGGAGGGAATGTGCTCGTCTCAGGGAATGCTGGATGATATGACTCCTCCTCCTCCTCATCCTCCTCATCCTCCTCATGCCACTTGCGCTCCTCAAAAAGAAATGCTACTTGCGCTCCTAAAACATGATCGACCCACGAACCCGGAAAGGAATATAGAAATGTAACGCATGGCAGCGTTTTCAAAGACACTTGATTGGGTGACGGGCAAATGCAATGTTGAGTGCATCGATCTTGATGTCCCCTGCCGAGGGCTGTGCTGTGCTGCGCCGTGATAAATTGCGATGTGCCATGCCGCGATTGTGCTCTGAAGCGTCGTGGATCGAGTCCTCCTTTGCATCCGAGTCCTGACCGAACTGATCTGGATCTTAAGCTCGAGCTGCCTGAACACATAGTAGCTGCCCCAGCGCCAATTCACAGGGGGACCTGCCAGGAGGACGCGCCGCGGAACGTCTCAAGGGACGCACCAAGCGACGTGCCAGGGGACGTGCCATGGGGTCGCACCGCGGGACGTGCCAAGGGGACGCGCTACGGAACGTGCTGGGGACAAGCGTTTCGCTCGAGACTTCCTGTCAACATCCTCATGCTGGACATCCGCCTGAGCGACCTGGACACGTGAAAACAAGCGTTTTGCTCAACACATCCTCAACACATTCTCATGCTAGGCATCCGCCTGGGCGAACTGAACGCGTGAAAACAAGCGGTTCGCTCGAGACATCCTCAACACATCTTCATGTGAGACGTCCGCTTGGGTGACCTGGGCACGTGAAAACAAGCGTTTTGCTCGAGACGTTTTCAACACTTCCTCATTCTAGGCATCTGCCTGGGCGACCTGTACACGTGAAAGCAAGCGTCTCGCTCGAGACATCTTCAACGCATCTTCATGTTAAACATCCGCCTGGGCGACCTGGACACGTGAAAACAAGCATATCTCTCGAGACATTCTCAACACATCCTCATGCTAGGCATCCGCCTGGACAACCTGGACACGTGCAAACAAGCATCTCGATCGAGACTTCCTCAACACATCCTCATGCTAGACATCCGCCTGGTCGACGAGGACGCGTGAAAGCAAGCGTCTCGCTCGAGACATCCTCAACAAATCCTGGCGCTAGACCTCTGCCTGGGCAACCTGGAGGCGTGAAACCAAGCGTCTCGCTTGAGACAATCTCAAGATCTGGGCATGTGAAAACAAGCATTTCACTTGAGAGATCCTCTGAATTCTAGTCCTCAGGAGAGGACAATCCATAACACAAAACGAGCGTTTCGCTCGAGACATCCTCAACAAATTCTGAGAATCAAGCGTTTCGGTCGAGACATCCTGAAATTTGAATTCGCCGGCTCTCTTCCCACTCGCTATTTATCGCAAAAGAAATCCGCCGGTCCTCTTCCCGTCAGATCAGGGGGTAAACCTACTAAAAGAGAACCCTGGGCCTGCGCCCTTTCCGGGAAAAATGCTACTTGCGCTCCTCCTCCTCCTCCTCCTCCTCCTGGAGGACTCCTCCTCCTCCTCCTCCTCGTGCTCCTCATTTTTCTCCTCCTCTCCCTCCTCCTTCTCATCCTCCTTCGATTTCGTTGCCCTCCTCCTCCTCCTGCCCCTCACGTGTTTTCCTGCCAGCGGGGCTTTTGTTCCTCCCAGCGGAGCTCTGGATTTCTAGCGTCCAAAGACTGGATAGTGAAGCGCTTCTAGGAGAGGCGTGCAAGGACGTTTGAAAGGATGCCTGGGGAGCTTGCAAGCCCGAGGCTGGAGCTTCGCAAGAGCCCCCCAGGAGTTTCGAAGGAGCTGCGGAAAGGCTTCCCGACAGCCTCCCGTTCAGTGGAAGGGGGAGGAGTGGAGGGGGGTCGAAGGTGTGGAAGGGATGGGAGGGGCAGGAGGGTAATTGAGGGGAGTGGAATGGAGGGAAGCGGAGGAGAGGGGAGGGGTAGGACGGGGTCGAAGGAGTTGGTGGGAGGAGGAGTGGAAGGGAAGGGAAGAGGACAGGAGCAGGGGCAAAGGTAGGATGAGGCCGCGCGGGAAGGATAGGCGGAGGCGAACGAGCAGAAAAGTTGTCGGGGAGGAGGACGATGATGAGGAGGAGGAGGACCAGTGCAAACCCAAGCTCATCAACGATGTTGCAATAAACCCTCCCTCCAAGTTCCCCTTCACAGGTCCCTACAGGAGTTTGTTTGCACTGAGGGAAGTGCCCCGTTGGAATACAATCGTTCGAAAATCGTGAGCCGCACCAAAGTACTATTTCTGTGAGTGCAACGGCGCGAATCAACGTTACTGTTGCGCCTTGACGGTCCAGAATCGCGCCGGAATGCCATTCGTGGGACGTCAACACCGCGAATCAACGTGATTGTTGCGCCCTTTCATCCGTATATCGCTCCAAAAAACGATCTTTGGGACGCAAACCATAAGAATCCATGATAAACCGATCTGCACTCTGAAGACGAGTGTGCGCGACGCCAAGGCGAGAACTACATTTTGAAAAGGAACCGCCGTTCCACCCGGAAACATTTCACAAACTTTGGAGGCGAATGCACGCGGCTCTCAGGCGAGCGCATTCGTCTCAAAGTTTGCCAAAATGGGCATGGTCTCTCTCTCTCTCTCTATATATATATACGTATACGCATATATCTTAATTTACGAACATGATTTACCCACGAACCCGGAAAGGAATACAGGAACGTAAGGCATGGCAATTATTTCAAGACACCGGATTGGGGCGACGGGCAATTGTAAGGCTGAGTGTATCGATCTTGACGTACCGGGCCAAGGGCTGTGTTGTGTTGCGCCGTGCTGAATTGCGATGTGCCATGCCGCGCTTGTGCTCTATAGCATTGTGGATCGAGTCCCTCTTTGCATCCGAATCCTTAACCGAAGTGATCTGGATCTTAAGCTCGAGCTGTTTGAGCACATAGTGGCTGCCCCAGAGCTAATTGACAGGGGGACACGCCAGGGGGACGCGCCGTGGAAAGTCCCAAGAGGGGTCGTGCCAGGGGACGTGCCACGGGGACGCACCGCGGGACGTGCTAGAAGGACGCGCTACGGAACGTGCCAATGGACTTGCGACAGGACGCGCCAGGGGACGCGCCGCGCGACGTGCCAGGGGGACTCGCCATGTGACGCGCCACGGAACGTGCCAGGGAACGTGCCAGGTTTCAAGGCTGATTGTATCGATCTTGACGTACCGTGCCAAGGGCTGTACTGTGTTGCGCCGTGCTGAATTGCGATTTCCCATGCCGCGGTTGTGCTCTAAAGCATTGTGGATCGAGTTCTCCGTTGCGTCCGAGTCCTGACCGAAGTGATCTGGATCTTAAGCTCGATCTGCCCGAGCACATAGTAACTCTCCCAGAGCTAGTTGACAGGGGGACCTGGCAGGGGGACGCGCCGCGCAACGTACCAAGGGACGCGCCAGGGGACGTGCCAGGGCCCTGCGGACTCTCACAGCGGCCCAACGGGCAGGGGAAGCGCCTGGGGGCGAGCCAGGAAACGCGACAGAGGACGAGCCAGGGAACGTGCCATGCCGAGCACGTCACGCCAGAACGTCGCACGAGACGCGCCAGGGGACGCGCCAGCGCCCCAGGGGACGCCCCACGGACGGGCGGGGTTGGACTGTAATGCACTCTATTGCGACAAGCGTTTTGCTCGAGACATCCTCAACACATCCTCAGGTCAGACACCTGGGCGACCTGGACACGTGAAAACAAACGTATCGCTCGAGACATCCTCAACACATCCTCATGTTAGACATCTGCCTGGGCGACCTGGGCACGTGAAACCGAGCGTCTCGCTCGAGACGTTATCAACACTTCCTCATGCTAGACATCTGCCTGGGCGACCTGGATGCGTGAAAACAAGCGTTTCGCTCGAGACATCCTGTCCAAATCGTCATGTTAGACATCCGCCTGGGCGACTGGACACGCAAAAACAAGCGTTTGGCTCAACAAATCCTCAACACATCCACATGCTATACATCCGCCTGGGCGACCTGGACACGTGAAAACAAACGGTTTGCTCGAGACATCCTCAACACATTTTCAAATTAGAAATCCATCTGGGCGACCTGGGCACGTGAAAACAAGCGTTTCGCTCGAGACATTCTCAACACCTCCTCATGCTAAACATCCGCCTGGGCGACCTGGGCGCGTGAAAACAAGCGTTCCGCACGAGACGTTCTCTACACCTCCTCATGCTAGACATCCGCCTGGGCGACCTGGATGCGTGAAAACAAGCGTTCCGCACGAGACGTTCTCCACACATCCTCATGCTAGACATCCGCCTGGGCGACCTGGATGCGTGAAAACAAGCGTTCCGCACGAGACGTTCTCCACACATCCTCATGCTAAGCATCCGCCTGGGCGACCTTGAACGTGGAGCCAAGCGTCCCGCTCGAGACATCCTCGACAAATCCTCATGCTAGACATCTGCCTGGGAGACCTGGACGTGTGAAAACGAACGTCTCGCTGACGGCATCCTCAACAAGTCCTCACGCTAAACATCTGCCTGGGCAACCTGGACGCGTGAACCCAAACTCGCTCGACACATCCTCAAGACCTGGGCACATGTAAACAAGCATTTCACCTGAGACATCCTCTGAATCATGGCCCCCAGGAGAGGAACAAGCTATAACACAAAACCAGCGTTTCGCTCGAGACATCCTCAACACATTCTGAGAATCAAGCGTTTCGCTCGAGACATCCTCAACAGTAATTTCGCCGACCCTACAGCCGTCGATTCCGGGGGTAAGCGGCTAAAAGAGAACCCTGGGCTTCAGCCCTTTCCGGGAAAAAACTGAAAACGTCATCCTCCTCCTCCTCTACCACCTCGATCCTCGATCCTCGATTCTTGTCCCCCCCGCCCTTGGCCCCCTCCCCACTCCTCCCCGATCCCTACGCGCCGCCCCCGCGCGTCCAGGCCGGGCCCGTCCACTAAAATCTTGCAATGCCCTCTGGACGCGGAGGCGGCGGCGCGCAGGCTCACGGGGTGCGCTGCTAAGATTTGCACGCCCGAAATGGGTACGGAAAGAATGGGTGCGATGCCCAACAGCAGTTCCTGTTCATTTTGAACAGGACTCGCTGTCCGCGCCGCCGCGGCCTGTGTCCATTTGAGACAGAAGGCCGCCCGCCCAACAGCGGCCGCTGTTGGTTTGGGGCAGCATTTGTTGTTGGGCATTGTGCCCATTTTTTCCGTACCCATTTCGGGCGTCCAAATAAGAAGCTCTCCTTCCGGCCCGTCTTGTTGGATCTGCGGCGCATTGGGTCCACGTTGCGGTCGAGCTACACCAGGGTTGCCGTTCAACGAATGGGTCACAAAAGCGGCGGGGCGGCGGGGGTGAGAGGGGCCGCGGACGGCCGGCGGCGGGAGAGCCCTCGGAGCGTGCAGCACTTCGGGCAGTGCCGGGGCAGGCTCAACTGTCGTCCCATACAGCCGCATTGAAATCGGGCAAATATCGGGTGTTGCTAGAAGTACCGCTGGCCCAAGGTACCGGTAGGATTCTCGGGGTGGCCCAGACGGCCTCCAGGGCACATCTCGCGAGGCCCAGAGGGCTCCAGGGGCTCCAGAACGGAGCGAAAAGCTGAGGGCACCTTGGGCCAGGGGCACTTCTAGCAACACCCGAACATAAAGCAACACATCGGCTTGCAAGCAGGTGGGTGGCCCTCGGAAGGCTCCCATCCGCTTCTCATTCCGCGATGGCCCCGGGCACTCACAGGAGCTCTGGGGCACCCTGGGACTGCCAAAGGTCGACGAGGAATGTGTCCGACGATCTCTTCTAGCACGATCTTTGATCGTACGTGCCGACTGTAAGCCCTTCGTGGTAGGCGTCGCTCGCGGTGGGGCGGTCACGGCCCCGAGGCGCCCTTCGCCAGGCGAGCAGTCCAATTAACGTCGGAGTTCTGGGTTTGTTGTCAGGTTACTGGGCCGCGCAAAGGGTGGGCTCGAGGGCTCGTGCTTGTGGCCACAGCTGTGCGCGGCTCGAAAAGCCCTCCGCCTCACGAGCAGTCCGATTGTATGAGCCTTCCGTGCGCGGAGGCGGCGGCGCCGCTTTGCTGGAGGGCGTCCCCGCCGGCTCGGTGGGGGCCGCGCTGCTGCTCGCGCCGCTGCCGCTGCCGGGCACGTCGTCGGCGGTGCTGTTCGGGGCACTGCGGGACGGCAGGGGGCGGGGCCCGGGGGCAACATTTGTGCTATCCACGCGCGCCGTCGTCGATGTCGACATCGCCGCCGCGACCACCATTTTGGCTCAAGACGGCACCCAGGAAGCACTGGACTCGCACGCCTTGGTCGAGCTGCCATGCTCAGCTTGAGGATCTCGTTTTTTTCGTGACCGACCCCGGCACCCTCTCCCCCCTCAAACACCATCCTGCGCGCACTTTGCTGCGGACCGGACGGCGACGACGGCCGCTGCCTCTGCCCCCGCGCCCGAGTCGGCAGCTGCCGAGCCGCCTTTCCAGCGCCGCAGAGTGGGAGGCGGGCGAGAGCTTCAGGTCGAAGGCGAGACAATCGATGACGCCGACACGGACGCTGAGATGTTTGGCGTTGCGCCAGCTGCAGCATCGGATGCCCCTAATTAGCTGTGCCCGACGCAAACCGCCGCCAACATCTCCGACAGATGTTGTTCAGCTCGGCGAAGCAAAGTAATTCATAAAGTCTTCGAACGGCAGCCTATGCGAGCACGTGGTTTTCGTGGCAGATTTTCCTGGCACGTGGGATAAAGAGGAGGTCGAGAAGCAACTGCGTACCGAGCTCGAGGAGTCAGGCACCCTGGAGAGCCAGGGCATCACGTAGATATACGGAGTGGGACGTTTCTGTGGCCAGGCGAAGGTCGTCTTCGCCGACAGCCAGCAGATGCGGAGGTTCATGAAGCGCTGGAAGGAGTTGAACATCCCTTGCCCTGGCGCGAAGAATGACAGGCTGTGGCACAAGGTGGACCAGGAACCGCACGAGGTCGAGCTTTCGAGGAGGGCGAGCTTCGCTGTCCGCATCCCGAGGGAATTCGGTATCCAGCAGGATATGTGCACGCAGGCGAAAGAGCAGACGACGTTCGACGCTGACTGGGATTGTGACTTGGTAGTATACCGCAAGCACAGCGGCGAGCGCCCGAGCCGCATCCTGCAGCGGCCGAGTAAGTCTGACCTTCTCGAGCTCTGCTAGGAGCCGCTCGCTAAGGCCCTGCTGGAGTTGAAGTTGAGCGAGCGGCTCGGAGCGGTCACCGATCCACCTCGTCTCCAATGGTTTCGGGTACGTGGCCGTCGCTTCGCCAAAGACCCCATGGACCTCACAGCTCTTGGGTGGAATGTGGGAGGGGCCCTCGCTCGGCAGCGACAGCGCGTACTAGACGAGATTGCACGCGAATGAGATGCTCTTGTCTGTCCTGTTTGAAGAATGTCGCGTTGCTGGTGCAACTGGGCTGGGCAGCCCTGTGGCGGATATGTCGTTCGCGTGCCGCCTCCAGGGTGGGGGGGGGAGGGCCTGACAGAGGTGCGCGATAGCGGTCAGCGAACATGGGCGACCTTCCGTAGTAGGAGAGCATCGGCTTCACGGGCGTACCATGCATTTTGACTGAAATTGCCTGTGTTGGGTCGGGCTCGTTTCATCACGTTGTTCGTTGCGAGGATGCAGAGACCAGTACGCAGCTTCGAGAGTGCTTAACCTCGGTGCCCATTGCTTGCCGTGCTATTGCCACTATTGACGCCCAGGACGGCCTCGGTTTTGCGGGCGGCGATACACCCAACCACTTTTCTTATTCCAACAAGACCAGGCGACGGGGAGATGCTCCACGCTTTGATGACACAGTTTGACTTAGTGGCTTTCAGCATCTTCGTGAAAGGGCAGCGGGGCCAGGCCACCTGTTTCTTTGACACCCGAAAGGGGCCTCGTCAGATCGACTTCATGCTGCGTCACCACGATTGGTTCCGACAGGTACGCTGCCAGGCCCGATGCAGCGACGCCTCGGAGAGCGACCGCTTGTAGCGGCGCAGCGCGAGCCGCGCCATACCGACCGTCGAGGGGGAGGCTCAGCACGAGCCGCCAGGGGAGATGGAGGGGCCACCGCGGAAGCCCGTCGCCTGGCATATCGACAACCGCGAGCACTACAATGCCAGGATATACGTAACGCCCGAGGCCCCCGACACCCCTCCCGCACCGCAGGCGTACACCGGTGATGACTTCACGAGCTACTCCACGGGCCTCTTCACGGACAGCTCCGCGCGACGGGCTCGAGGTCGGCGGCGTCTCCTTCGCTATACTTCCGCGGGCTAGGGCTTCGCACTGTATCGCATCGCCGAGCCCAACGACCAGGACGAGCCCCTCCTCGAGTCCTGCGGGATGGCCTTGAATGTCGCTTAGGCGCCTAATATTCGCCATCCCGCGTCCCGGAGGATCCGCGTCTCATAGGCGCCTCCATCCTTACCTCCAACACGGGCGAGGTGTCGGCCATCGTGGAGGCATTGCTGCGGTTGCTCCGCCAGCGCCTGCGGGTGCACCCCCAATCTGCGACCGCGTCTGCCTGCTGGTCACCGCGGATTTTACGTACGAGAGGGACCTACTACCGGGTGTCTTTCATCCGAGGGAGAACTACGAGCTGGCCGCGCTCGCCGTATACTTGTGGCACCAGTGCCAGACCCACTTCGAGATGATCATCCAGTGGGCCAAGATCCACAACGGGAGCTCCGGCAACGAGCGAGCCAACCACCTGGCCAAGACTGGCAGCGACCTGAGCTGCACGGGCATCAGCGACCTAAGCTGCACGGGCATGCACTGGCGCCGCCCCGACCTTCAGGTCGAGCGGGGAGCCGCTGAGTTTCTCCGCCGTTGCGAGGAGCACGATGCCACCCTTCGGATCTCGAGGAAGAGGCGTCTGGATGAGATCAGGCGCGCAGCGGGGCCTCCAGTGAAACATTTGCAACAAGGTTTGGAGACGAACGGACGCGGCGTTCACACGAAAACCAACCATTCTTGAATGCGTCGCAAAGTTTTAGGACGAGTGCATCCGGTTTGAAGGCGAGACCACGATTTTGGAAACCACCCGCCTTCCATCTGTAGCACTGCTGCAAGCTCCAGAAACTACTGGAACATAAGTGGCGGGGTCGTCTCAGGCGAAACGCCGGGCCTTCCCTACCGACACTCTCAGAGTTTGCCACAGGGAGGATATGTTCACAAGGACAAGGGGTATAGGAGAAGAGAGAGGAGGAGGAGGAGGAGGAGGAGGAGGAGGAGGAGGAGGAGGAGGAGGAGGAGGAGGAGGAGGAGGAGGAGGTGGACGAGGTGGTGGAGGAGGAGGAGGAGGAGGATCGAGGACGAGGGGGGGCGACGAGGAGGGGGAACGAGGAGGAGGAGGGAACAGGGAACGGAAGGAGGAGGAGGGAGAGGAGGAGGAGGAGGAGGAGGAGGAGGAGGAGCGAGGAGGAGGAGGAAGGCCTGTGTAAACCCAAGACGCATCAACGATGTTTCAGTAAACGCTTCCTCCAAGCTCGCTCTTCACATGTCCATCCAAGGAATGGTTTTCATTGCTGGAAGTTCTTTGAAGACAACAGTCTGGCAATGCTAAGTATAAAACGAAGGTGCGCGGCGCTAACACGGTTACCACATTTAGAAAGCCACTCGCCTTCTGTTGCAAAGAGTTCAGACGAATGCGCGTGGCGCTGGGGCGACAGCGCGGTGTTGGAAATCAACCGCCATCTATCCATGAAGGTTCTGCAAGTTTCAGAAACTAATACATCATAGTTGTTGGGGACGTATCTGGCGAAACGCTTGTCTCGCCTTGCCGACTCGATCGGAAGTGCGTTTCCAGAGAAGGTCATTACAGCGCCTTGGCCCATGGGAGCATTCTCTGTTCCGTTCCTATCAGGGAACATCCGCGGCGCCGCTCCTATCAGGGAGCATTTAGGCGCACCTCCTTTCAGGGAGCATTCTCTGCCAGAGGCCCCTTCCAGGGAGCATGGCCTGCGCGCCAGAGCTCCCTATCAGGGGAGCTGGCGTGCCAGAGTTCCCTACCAGGGGAGTTGACGGCGCCGCTTCTGTCAGGAAGCAATCAGGCGCGGCTCCCTTCAGGGAACATGATCGGCCAAGGCTCCCCATGAGGGAGCACGGCGCGTCACGCCAGAGCCCCAGGGGAGTGGCGGCGCAGGTCCCCGCCAGCGGGATTCGGCATGGCGGTCGTGCACGGAACGCCCCTGCGAGGGGAGACGAGCGTGAGTGCGAAATTTCTATTTGGGAGTAGCCAGGCCGCCGTTCCTTTGAGGAGTACCAGGCACAGACCAGCACAACTAATACCACCGCCGCTTCCAGCAAACGTCCGCCTGCTTCGCCAGAGAAACCACCGCCCGCGACGCAAGCAGAGGCGCGTAAGCAAAGAGGAGGCGAGGTGAGCAGCATGGGGCAACATCTGATGGGTTTCCTGTTGCAGCAACAAGTTAATGATTCTTGAAACTGGATGTAGCAGGAAGCATGGGAGGAGGAGGAGAAGGAGGAGGAGGAGGAGGAGGGGTAGGAGAATGAGGAGGAGGAAAGGAGGAGGAGGTGGAGGAGGAGGAGGAATCGAAGGAACACGACAGGTAGATATTGAGCGCTGGCGAAGTGAGCGAGCGAGGTTTCAGTATTCCGCCCACCTCGTCCCACCCCCTCCTTCGCCACATTCCATGCCGATCCCCTCTTCCGCCCCCTCCTCGAACAGCGCTCGTTCCGTCCCCATCGTTTCCCTCTGCTCCTCGTTCCTTCGGCTTCCCCGCCAGGCCCTTCACTTCTCCGTTGGAACCGCGTGCAGCTCTTGTTTCTGTTCAGGCTTCACTGGGTTCACTGCTGGCTCCAAGCACCCCCGCTCGCCCTGAGCCTGCTAAGTCTCATTGGCTGCTGGAGGGTCGGTCACCCCCAAAACATCTCCACCCTGGAGGAGTGAGGAGAATGATGAGGAGGGGAGGAAGTGGAGGAGAAGGAGCAGTTGGAGGAGAGATAGCCAGGAAGAAAAAGGGAAGCGAGGAGGAGTAGACGGAGGAGGAGGCGGAGAAGAGACAGGAAAACGAGAGCAGGAGCAGCAGCAGCAGCAGCAGCAGCAGCAGCAACGAGGAACCAAGAGCGAGGAGCGAGGAGGAGTATGGGGATGAGGAGGAGGCGCAGGAGGAGGATGAGGAGGAGGCGCAGGAGGAGGAGGAGGATGAGGAGGAGGAGGAGAAGGAGGATGAGGAGGAGGAGGAGCAGGAGGAGGAGCAGGAGGAGGATCGAGAACGAGGGGGAGGAGCGGGAGCGGGAGGAGGAGGAGGAGGAGGAGGTGGAGGAGGAGGAGGAGGAAGAGGAGGACGAGGAGGAGGAGGAGGAGCAGGATGAGGAGGGACAGGAGGAAGTGCAGGAGCAGCAGGAGCAACAGCAGCAGCAGCAGCAGCAGCGAGGAACCAAGAGCGAGGAGGGAGGAGGAGGAGGACGAGGAGGAGGACGAGGAGGAGGACGAGGAGGAGGAGGACGAGGAGGAGGACGAGGAGGAGGACGAGGAGGAGGACGAGGAGGAGGAGGAGGAGCAGGAGGAGGAGGAGGGAGGCGGAGTGAGCAGGATGACGGAGGCAGGTGGAGGGCGGCAGCAGCCTGAGGAAGTCGCCCGCGCCCTGTGCCCGGGCGGCAAGATGGTCCTCGCTTGCCGCGGGGCCGCGGACGACAGGCAGCTCCGCGCGGTGCTGGGGCTGCCCGTGCTGGGGCTCCCGAGCTAAGAGGGGTCGAAGGATTAAACACGACCAAGGTGACGCGGGATCTTGCCGATGGCAGTCTTGGTCATGGTCCATGTCGATCATCGCCAGTTCGCGAGGATGGTCCACGAATGGGCGCTGACCAAGATCGACGGTGACCAAGATCGACACGACGTTTCCGCGTTTGGTCTTGGTATAGGCGTTGCGTCGCTGGACTCCCAGCCTCCCGGGGGCCTGCTCCGGGGCCTGGGGCTCCATCGAGGGTCTGGGCGGGCATGAGCCCTTCAGGGATGGATCCTGAGAGGGGTCCGGGGAGTTGTTTTGGGATGGCCCAGAGTTCGGCTACAAATGCGAGTGAGCTTTCGCCGGAGTGACTTTTGGTGCGGGCGGGGTCCCCAAATGGCTGAATGCGATGCGATGGCAGCGGCTTGCGCGCTCGGGTTTGGCCTCCCCGTGCCCACCAAAAGCCGCGCACCAAAGCTCACTCTTGCCTGGGGTTTACTCTTGCGTGTAGCCGAGGAGCGCAAGGGAGGAGGAGCTTCGAGGTTCACACGCCACCTGGGGGGTTTCATCAAGGGCAGCTCCTGCCGAGCTGCACCAGCAGGCACAGATTGGTGACTACCGTGCCGTGCCTGTTTCCGAGCTGCGCACAAGGAGGCTCGAGGTTCGAGGATCGATGCCTTTGTGATACTCCGAGACGCTTCTCGCCACGGCTGGATTCCCTTCGAAGTCTTGGCGAGCTACACCCATGGATGGGTCCGAGGGCCAGTTTGCCGAGGGCAGGACAACAGTCGCCGTAAAACGGCTGGTCATGGGTGACATGATAATTATGGTGGCCGCCATCCTGTAAGGGCATCCATCGCCCGTTAAATTAGTAATGTGCGTAATCTCTTGCGGGCCTCGCGCCTCAGGCTGAATGCTTAGCTTTCGCCCATCTCAGCATATCCGAGTCGGGGTGGCAGCCCGTAAGAAGGGACAAGTAGAGAGAAAAGGAACTGGTGACGGGAAATGGGTCCTGAGGTTTCTCGCCGTTGTCGGCCTACCGGGGCCACTCCCAGGTCCCAGAACTGAACTTTCAGGAGCAGCACTGGGGTTTCGGTAGGTTCGCGCCGCGTTGACGCGGCAGCGACCCCAGCACGGGCTTCCCAGATTGAAGGCCGCGGCGCCAGGAACCTCACGCCGGCGCACTCGTGGCGCGAGCCGACCGTGTCCACGGCCCGGCCGTGTCCTTTTGTCTTGTCAATGGCCAGAGCAAAGCGAAGAAAACACAAACTACGACCCCATAGCTGAAGTTTCGAGGCGCTCAGTCTGTGATTACGACTACTACGACTGCTATTGTTACCATTATCACTACGGCTACTACTACTACGACTGCTACCGCTACGATGACGACTGCTACATCTACTACTACGACTACTACTACTACTACTACTACTACTACTACTACTACTACTACTGCAACTACTACTTCTGCGTCTACTACAACTACTACGGCTACGACTACGACTACGACGACTACTACTACTACTACTACAATTACTACTACTACTAATACTACAACAACAGCTACTACTACTACTACTACTACTACTATTACTACTACTACCACTGCTACTACTACTACTACTACTTCGACGACGACTACCATTATTATTATTACTACAACTACGACTACGACTACTACGACTACTACGACTACTACTACTACTACTACTACTACTACTACGACTACTACTACTACTACTACGACTACTACTACTACTACTACTACGACCTACTACTTGTACGAGGACTAGTATTGCTATTATGATTACGACCACGACGACGACCACGACGACGACCACGATAGTAGTAGTAGTAGTAGTAGTGTAGTAGTAGTAGCAGTAGTAGTAGTAGTAGTAGTAGGAGTGGTAGTAGTAGTAGTAGTAGTAGTAGTAGTAGTAGTAGTGGTAGTAGTAGTAGTATTACTACTACCGCGACGACTACTACTTTCACTATTACGACGACTACTACTACTACTACTACTACTACTACGATTGCTACTACTACTACTACTACTACTACTACTACTACTACGGTTACGATCACTACCACAACTATTATTATTACTGCTACTACTACTACGACTACTAAAAGTACTAGTACTACTACGACTACTTCTACGAAGCATAATACGAATGCGACCGTGTATCTGATCTTTTGTACAATTGCTACTACGACGTTTTCTCCTACTACTACGATTGTCACTACTACTACTGGGACGATTAGCAGCACTCGTAACGTTTGCAGTAGTAGTAGTAGTAGTAGTAGTAGTAGTAGCAGTAGCAGTAGCAGTAGCAGTAGTAGTAGCAGTAGTAGTAGTAATAGTATTACTTCTACTATTTCCTCTGATAATACAACTCTTATTGCTACGACTATTGTTACGACCACCCCATACAATCATTATCACTACGACTACTACTACGGCGACCACTAGTATCACTACTACCACTATCCCTACTATTACTACTACTCCTACTACTACTACTACTACTACTACTATTACTACCAGTATTACTGTTCCCACTGCTATTTCTACTAGTACTACTATGTCCACTGCTACTACTACTACTACTACTACATACTACGACTATTACTACGACTACCATCATTGCACATTTTGGCACTACGATTACCACTATTACTACTACATCTACTTTTACTATTACTACTACTACTACTACGACTACTACTA